GTAGGGGATGGGCTTGGGGAGGGGGAAGTGAAGGTCGGGGAGCTCATAGCTTCTCAAAGTTCTTTCCCAGGTCCTCGCCAAGGAGGTGAAGTTGGTGATAGCATGATGTAATGTGCGTACCTCATATCTTGAGTGTGGCAGACTAATGAGTTGACCTATGATGAGGAGACTTTCTTGGTCCACTCGCATACTCAGGGGAATGAGGCCTGTGAGAAGATAGACAGCATCATCGTCAGCACTGTTGGGGAGCCCAAGGATCTTCTTGAAGAGCTAGCATTGGGATCATTCCAGTTTATTAAGCCTTGTCTGGATGAGCTTCATGATGGCCATGATACTTACCAGAGTTGTGCACAGTGGTGTGTTGGAAGTCCTCCTGTGTATGCACCTGCTCCAGTGAGGGCGTAGAATATTTTTGTGCCTCTGGAAATCATAATATCTGTTGGATCATATTTGGAGGAGCATTTTATTATTTCCAGATGTGAGTGTTGGGTAGCGGAATCGACTGGCATCTGTCCAAGGATGCATGTGGGTTGAACCGTTGTCTTGCGAGTTGTGTTATTGAAGGTGACAATCTTTCTTTTCTTCGGATTGATGCGATATCTCCAAGTGTCTGCATATTTACATGACTAATATGACATTCAGCATGTCTTGAAGCTTTGTTGGAGATGAGCTGACAAGCGCTACGTCATCGGCCGATCACACCAGCATGCTGGCTCAGCAACTGGCCGCCTAGCCTCTCTCAGCCTCTTGATAAGGCCATCTAGAAAAAAAAGTGTACAGCGGGGGGGGGGGGGGGAGTACCCTGTCCTGTCTGACACCCTGGAGTATAGGTATGGCTCTACTTGTCTTGTCAGTCCACAGTATTCGGCTTTCCATGTTTTCATACAGAGATCTGAGGAGGGCTGTGTATGCAGGGTCAATGTTGGTTTGGTCCACTTTGTAGAACAGGCCATCATGCCAGACTTTGTCGAATGCCTTCTCTGTATCGAGGAGAGCAACATAGGTAGGCCGCTTGATCTCTATGATGAGTTCCAGGGTTCACGAAGTCAGCATGCAGGAGTGTTTTTTCTATACCATTGCCTTGAAGGGTCTTCTCTAGCCTTGGTTTGAGGATAAGCTCAAAGAGAGCTTGGACAAGGTTGAACTCAGGGTAATCCCTCGATAGTTCTTAGGATCGCGGGGATCCTAATTTCCTTTTCCTTTGTGGAAGGGGAGAATCAAACCATTTTTTATCTTCTGCTAAGTATGAGCAGTTGCGAGGTAGTAGTTGTAGATGAGCAAGATCAGGTGTATGGTGGATTTTCCTATGTATCTGAGGTGCTCTGGGCTGATGTTGTCTGGAGCACTGGCTTTTCCCTTCAGTTTAGTAGTAGCTTCTTTGATGTCATGAGATGTTAATGGTGAGGGCATGCATGGGTGTTGAGAACAGGCTGCTAGAGGCATCTTTTTTATGATCTGGTAGGGAAAGGTCTGTTAAATATAGCTCCCAGCCCTCAATGACTTCACGATCCCCTTGATTATTATCAAGGGGATCGTGAAGTCATTGAGGCATATTATGTTCTACCATCGTACTCTGACTAGTGACTTTGTACCATACGCCGAGCAATCTTTGGAGCGATGGTTCTTGACAAGTTTGTGGAAAGTGATTTGTTCGTTTCACAGGCGTTCTCGAGACAGTTCAGGAGTTTTCTGTTGTTGTGAGCTCAATATTGCCGGAGCTGACTTCGGAAGTCCTTTTTGCATAGTAGGTAGTCTGTGAAGAGTGTACCACTGCGTGGCTTATCGGCTGTTTTCCATCTCTTCCAGATTTCAAGGGCGGCATTGTACGAGTATCGACCTTCGGGCTCCATCCTGGTTTTCCATGTTTACCTATGGAAAGATAGCTGTGTGGGAGGCTGAGTGAAGTCTCAATCATGGCCGTGGTAAGCTTGTAAAGCAAATCATCCACAGATGTGTTGTCCAGCACTCTCTTGTGGATTGTAGTGAACATCTGCCTTGCTGCAATTTCAAGGGATCAGTATATCGAGCCGCTACCTCTTCTTTGGATGCTTCTGTCCATTTCATTTTCAGTCTTTGCAGTTTCTGGGCGTGCTGTGGTTGTTGCATGCTTTTGTTGAGTTGTATGTGAGTTACATGGTATCACTATATAGACCATTCAATTCTTGCCAGCAGGTGATCCGAAGTGTTCAGAGATGTGTCCGGGCCAATGGTAAGATCATCAAACTGGTGGACTGATGATCTAAGCGATAGGAATCCATCTATAAACGATGTCTTTCACTATCGTCAGATCTATAGGTGAAATTTCCTTGGCTTCCAAGTTCCTTTGTTATGCTGATTAGGTCGGCATCTACCAGAAAGGTTCGAAGGGATCCTAGGGATATGTTGTTATTAGGGTTGACTGTGTCAGCATTGAAGTCGCCTGAAATAATAAAGGCGTCGTCGGTTTGGGTGGATATAGGATGTTGGATACGATGGCAAGGCTCTCCTGGTATTCTACAAGATCAGTTTGATCGACGCCCGATGGTAGGTAGCAGTTTATGGCCAGGACGCACTGTTTTGACTGATAAAGGTGTATTCGAACTATGTTGATCCTGGTAGAGTGGCAGGGGTTTTACTGTAGCTGGCAACCAGCGTTTTACGAAGTAGTGTTGCTACCCCCTCCTTTTCCTCGTCCTGCTCGTATGGCATTGGTATAGCTGATGCAATCTGCTGCTTTAGCTGTTACGAAGTGTTGGCTGCTAATGTCATTCAGCGTCTGTAGTATGTTTGGTACTAAGCCAGTGTTCTTGAATAAAGAGGATTCTGGTCTGTCTTGCTGGCAACTTGATGGGTATATCTCAGGTTGGACTGTATTCCGCGTACATTCAGTGTTCCTAATGAAATATTTGTTGTTTGTATGCGGTTGGTAGTAGAAGGAGGCTTGATTGAACAAGGTCTATGATGTGGTGGTGGTTGGTTGCTACCGCTCTGTTTATGGTGAGATTGCTCTTTGCTTCTGGTTCTGAGAGAAGATGTAGTGTGTTTATGAGTGAGTGATATGCTGCATCGAGAAGGTACCGTAGCGTTGATCTACACTGTATGTTTTCATTGTCATCATGTTTTTAGATGTTGCACTCTTGTAATATATAAAGATGTTTATATTTATACACCTCCCTTTTGTATCTTTCCTCATCCTCTATGTATAATCAAATATTGTATGTGTACCCTGTGAGATCAATAATAGTTTACTCAATGCCAGGGACGCAATTTTTTAAAATCACATAATGTATTTTTGTACACTTGTTTGTTATGTATCATTCTGTTGTGTCACGACTTTGTCATTCTTAAACCATTGGATGGGACTTCTGTTAAAATGACATATGAATAAATTTATTCATTATTAAATATATATGTTAGTATAAAGTTATGGTCTTTTAAATTAGTTTTTAGTATTGAGGAAAAACATAAATAGAAATATTTTTCTTGTAAATATATGCTTAGTTCCCTAGGTGTACGACTAGTTCTCAATATTCAACCTCTTATGGTAAAAGAAATGGATTTTCATATATATACATTGTAGGCTATGTATATTTCTTGGTAGAGGCCCATTGAAATGTATCATAATGAACAGTACAGAGTTGAATTCTAAATTTGATTGTATTATTATTTGTATAATGTCTATTATTGTTATTAGTATCATTTTTTAAATATTTATTATGATTTATTATTGTTCGTAGTAGTAGTAGATGTAGTAATATCAACATTATTATCATTATTAATATTGTGTGTCTACCCTAATTGTGGGTATTTTTTAATATTGTATCTAGAGAAGAAAAAATGTGCACACGATGCCTTTTAATATCTATATCTTTAAAGGGATAGTTGAGTTCTGTTGCAGAGGGCGCTACATATTTTTGTTTTTGTGTGTGAGATAATGAAAAAATGAGTGTCAAATTTGAAAGAACATACAATTTAAATGACAAAATCATCTTTGGGTGATCAAAATCGGTTCAGAGACGGCTGAAATATCCATAAATATAACAATTTCTAATACTTGTATACCACCACAAATATTAGATAATTTTAAAAAGCCGTTATAAACGAAATAGCGCCTTTTACGTCGTATTTTAGCCAATGCCGATGTTGGCTTTTGATGGCATTTGCGTGTTGGTTATATTACGCACAATCAGCCGGCCCATGTATTGTTATTTTTAATTAAAAAATTAATTAACAGTCACCGTATTTTTAAAAGTGGAGCTGAATTGGTATGGCCGTATTGGCTAAATTTCACACATTTTGGGGTCTAAAATTACCTTCATAGCAATTTTAGGTTGTAAAAGGGCACTAGAAATGTCATAGATAAGAATAAGAGCAATAACCATGGACTTTGAAGGCAATTGCGGTCTGATAACAGAACTCAACTATCCCTTTAAGTTTGTTCTGCAGTGTAAAGATTCCTTAAATCTACTCTCACTTACCTAAAATCTTCTTAAGTTGGATACAACAGTTAGTGGTATTTATATTAATGTGTCCAGTGTCACAGAAATACTCCTTTTTAGCAATTACACACATGATTGTCATGATAATGTTTCTTTTATCTTCATATAAAACAACTTCCATTTGCTGCTTTTCGCAATCATTATAAATTATCGATTAAATCATGATCAAACATGCTTTTATGCACAAGTGCAACCGATTATGGCATCTTTTATTTCTTTAATTCGTTTTTTGCATTTCATAGTTTTCACATTGTTCGATTAGAAGCTAGCAGCTACGATGGTTATAAAGAAAAACACGTTCCACCTTTTAACTGAGATATTGTCACGTTTATCATAATTTCATGGCGGAAATCTTCCAGATTGAAGAATTTTTAGAATTCCAAAGATACATATTCAATATAGGCCTGCAGTCAATACAGAAAATGTTTTCTCCAAAACGAAGATACTTTCTTAAACTCACTCTACAGTATCGACATAGCACTTGGAGAGAGAGAGAGAGAGAGAGAGATAGAGAGAGTGAGGTAGTGAGAGAGAGAAAGAGAGAGGAGAGAGAGAGAGAGGAAACATGATTATACGAAGATAACATAACATATTAATTTATGAAGACAATGAGGCTTCTGTTTCATTCTGTTAATTCCGCTGAGACCAGTGCCGCCTCCTTGATCGAAACATTAGATACCACAATGATGATACCAATGAGGTCAGTAGGGGGAACCCCCGAGTTTCATATCAGCCAATCATCTTCTCACACACGTACATGTTATACTTATAAATCATGTTGTCTTATGGGCATCAACTTGTGTTCACAGACATAGCATTTCAACAATAGAGGTCCAGAAAGAGACACCTTCATGTCGAACTAATTAGTTCTTTGCAAGTAGATTCTTCCTATGACTTAGAAAAAAACTTTTGTTTCATAGTCATAATCATAGGTAAAGTCATTTTCTATGTTGATTGATTTTTGTCGAAGTTTCGGTAGTAAAGTTTTCGTCCAAGGTCCCAGAACGACAGACTGAGAACAGTTTGTGGTGCCAGGCGAAACCAAGAGGCGGACCAACCCTTATAGAAGCCCACTAGACCTTCTTTCCTCCAGATCTTTGTAGCACAGTCCCACACCCCTCGGTAGTAGAGTCCTTTCCCTCGTTCGTCTATGCCTTGGTTGTACATCCGGGTGCTGATGACGTCTAAGGGTGTCATGACGACGACGTTAGCGGCACCAGCCACCATGCTGGCGATGATCGGGATAAAAATGCTTCCGGGACGAAAAAGCTGTGATGGGGGAACCAAGATTTTGAGATGTTTGAAGACACAGATATTAAGAACAATACAGAATGAATCACAAATAAGATGAACTAAAATCATGTTTGCTTTTTCGTAAAACAGTACTGCATACAGTTGGTTGATTCGACAATGTTATGGTCTTACATAATGCTTTGAGCCCATTGTAGGATTCAAAGCCATTCTATCCTTTAAATCAGCAAGTGTTTGCCTTGATGATTACCAGCCAGATCTTTGCCTCTTTTCGAATAATTGCTTCTCGGGCACGTACACCTATATAGGCAATAATCCCGTCACCTTAGTTATGGGTTAATACCCCCCCCCCCCTTTTTTTTTTCTCTCGAGCAAAGCCCCCAACCATCACATACGTATACGGAGTCTGTATTATACGACTGTAGAATGCAACTGACATACCCAACATTTTTGGTAGGGCTCTTGTACACGAGACACAGCGACAATCTGTTTTAGTGACGTTTCAAATAGGATTCGACCCCACATGATATCCTTCAATGATGGAACCGATCTTGCGTCGTTTATTTCGAAGGTTTCTTTCGATATGCATATTTCAAGAACACTTGATATATTCTCACATTGCCTAGCTGTCATGGTTTGTTGGCCTACCTCTGTTTTTGTGACGAAATCCTTAGTCCGAGAGAAAGAAGTAAGTTGTGCAACCGAGCCGATTCCGTTCCTCATCGTTTGTGCGTTGACACCTCGCCAGAAACCCTTCGCCCCGCCCTCTACGTATATCCTCTTCAAACCTTGCCGCCAACCTGAGTGCGTATGTTGGTGTCCCACGGCTATGACTTCACGCGACTGGGGTTGCATTTGCGTCTTTATCTGTATTCATGGACGGAAAAAGCATAACATATTCTTCAATATATGTGTAAAAGAAAAATATTGGCACGATACCGTGCTTCGGAAACGCAATCATCATACATGAGAACATTTACGGTGGAGGTGGTGTTGATGATGATGAACTTATTATTTCGCCACATTTCTTTTTATAGTAAAATCGAAAGATGCCTGTAGACTACTACAATAAGGTATACATTTCTAATTGATTCGGGAATGATCTAAAATGTTTTAAGTCTATCAATTTCAAGAAGAAAGGAAGGTAGGTAGTCCCACATGAGAGGGGCAACACAGAGCAAGACTTTCCCTTCCGATATGTCATAGAACAGACGGGTTCATAATTATGGGGACAGAGATGCATGACTCGAAGCTCGATGAGGAAACTTATCCAAGGATCTCATATAAATTAATACATGAAAGAGAGCTTGATCATTATTGCCTTGATGGTCAGCAGCAAGATTTGAGATTGCTTCATTCTAACTTCACTCATTTTTTTTTATGTTGAAGCTTTTCCTCCGTGGCCAGGATTGTCTATAGTGAACATGCAGACTGAATACACTTCATTACAAAACAATTGCTGCTATAATTATAATCAATAAAAGATAAAAACTTATTTGTATGGTAGCTGAAGATCTAAGAGTTTCTGAACTTACAAGGTACATGGGCTGCTGACGAAAGCTCCAGCGTAACCTGCAACTCCTGCGGCTAACATCGTCTTGGGTAAGCTAGTCTGCCCAGCTTTGTTCTTCGTTAGTCCCATGTCTATTAAACTCTGGTAGGTTCCAAGACGGGTCCCATTCTGCAGTATCTGGTAGATGATGGCTGGAGGCAGCCCAGCCTGCAGGGCTAGGAGACCGTCATAGCGACCTATGGTATAGAAGGCATGGAAGACATTTCTGTAGTGACGCTGGTAGGTGCCCAATGCCTTCAGCTCTCCCTGCAGCTGGAACCGAGTCTTGACGACTTCTAGTGGGTTAGTGAACAGGACTGCACAGGCAGCTGCAGCGCCCCCAAGGCCGAACTCTATCACATCTACAGGCATTATACACAAAATGTTTAAAATACGTCAAATACAATTGAAGTGTTTATAGCATCTAATGATTGCAAACTTCGTGGCAATTAAAAAGTACTTATTTATACGTACTTAAAAAGGTCAGAAAGTTCCTGCGAAATATAAATAGTACAGTAGGTACATCCGTAGACTTTGCACCTCTGGGTGTCATAACCATTCAGGAAAGGTATTATCTCTAAGATTTTACAATGCAGGTCAGGTTTACAATCTCGTGACTTTGGACTCGAATGCGTAAGGTTTATGATCTCATGAAAAAATTAACGGAGATTGACCTACAATACAGCAACCATTTATACTTTGTTTTTCATAATGCTATTATGTAGGAAATCATGGAGGTACAAAGAGAGAAAAAAAGGGCTGTCCAAATGTTTATTTTGGACACCTTCCAGTTCAACGCTAACTGTATATCAAGCCTCTATGACATAAGTCTAATTACTCTAGCCCTGCTAACGAGAGATACCTCATTCCCACCAAGAACGATAACAAACCAAAGAAAGTACCACAGTGCTCGGTTTGGACGTGTGACAGAGCTATATAATAAAGAACATTCATAAGCGTTGCTCTACGTAATTTTGATTTTGCGTAAAATAATAAAATGTGAGGTTGACTCAAGAACATACAAATTATGTATCGGTATTACTGGTATCTCCGTTCTCTCTCTCTCTCTCTCTCTCCTCTCTCTCTCTCTCTCTCTCACTGTTCACCTCACCCTAATTATATATATACGACAGGGCGTGTTTATGCTTAACTTTTTCTGACCAGAATCAGACATCTGCTACGCGTTTAGTTTAAAACACGGTTGCGTCCTTTCTCACTTTTGTAGAATCACCGAAAAACGGCGATCACGATCACCGATCGTAAACTCACAAAAAGATGCGTTTACAATTTGTAAACGCGTTTGAATGGGGTCAACGCATTGACCTCTAGTGGGTCTACGCATGGACCATGGTCTACAAAGCATGCGCATTTCAAGGTTGCGAATCTAGCTGCAAGGCCAATTAAGGCCACCCAGGGAGAATTGCCTGGAGGAGCCAGAGAAGTGAGCATAAACAGTACAACCGTGGAACTGCGATTACGATGATCGTTTACGATGAGCGTTACAAATCGCTCATTCTGCCTTCAAAATTTAAGCTTAAACCAGCAAAATGTGACAGCTTCTTGGACGACAGACGGTAGAGTCTTTGCCATAGTAAAAAAACCTCTGGCGGAAAAGACATGAAGAAGCTCATCCCCTCTTTGTCGGACCTTAGCACTCTGTAAAGAAGCTTTTTTTCACTTTCCTGCCCGAATGAGAGAATTCAGAATCCAGGTATTATATTTTATATACATTTTTAGCAATATTCATAATTATCTATTTTGCAATTAATATATCTATACACTGTTTTCGGTGGATTTTTACACTCCCACTTTTTTAAACCCTGTTACGTATTTGTAGTTACGTCGTTGAATTATACTTGTATTTTCTTTTGTTTGTGTATTTTATTATAAACTATCAACAATTTTTAAACAATATTGATATTAATGCTATCATTGAGAAATTATCTCCTATAATAAATGATCAAGAATCATATAGGTTTCAACAATCATTTTATACTTCTGAAGATTTCACCCAAATGTTAAATGTGCACACTGTAGATAAATATTTAGAAAAACAATTTTTATGTCTTCATGTAAATTGCAGAAGTATAAAAAAAAAACTTCTCTTGTTTAGAATCTTGTTTGCATGTTATTGATAATCCCTTCTGTGCAATAGGAATAACTGTAACATGGTTACGCAACAGCGATCCTAAATATAATTTAGATGGATTCAAATATATGGGTAATAATAGAGTAGAACGTCGAGGAGGAGTTGGTATATATGTTAGAGGTGATTTAGTTTATAAACAAAGAGTAGATTTAGACATTAATGTAAATTGTATGGAGTCTATTTTTATTGAAATTCAAAATTCAATTAAAAATATTATTATTGGTGTTATTTATAGACCTCCGGATGAATATGAAAATGAATTTTTTGAATCATTAAATTCAGTTTTAAATATTGTAAATAAAGGATATCTTATTGGGGATTATAATATTAATTTATTGACCGTCGACTCTTGCTCTGAAACAAATGAATTTTTAGATGTATTTATGACAAAATCGATGTATCCAGTAATTCATTACCCAACTCGCATCACTGATCATTCAATATCACTGATTGATAATATCTTTACAAATAACATTGATGATGTTTTATCAGGAATTATACTTGCGGATATTAGTGATCATTTTCCTGTATTTTGTATATCGAACTCTCAGATAACACTTAGGAAATCACAGACAATTATGAAACGTGATCTTAATGAGATAAACATTAGAAAATGTATTAATCTTTTGAATGATGTTAATTAGAGAGTAGATAATGAAGATCCAAATGTGAGTTATAATAATTTTTTGTATCAATTTATGCAACTATATAATAAATGTTTTCCTATACGCTCCATTGAATTTAAAAAGAAAAGAAGAGATAAATCATGGTTTACAAATAAATTACGTAAAATGTGCAATAAAAAATACAAGTTGTATCAAATATCCTTACAAAATCCAACTGACTATAGAAAAAGTGTGTATAAGATGAACAGAAATAAGTTAAACCATGAAATTAAACATGTGAAATATGAATATTTTAAAAACAAGTTTCAAAATGTGCAATGTGACATGAAAGACACATGGAAGTTAATAAATAAAGCTATAGGAAATTCATTTAAGACTCGTGATACAAATATTGAACACATTCAAGTTAACAATGAACGTATTACAGATGATTTATGCATTGCTCAAGAGTTTAATAATTATTTCGTTAATTTAGGTGCTTCTTTGAGATATAATGTTCAAAATGCTTTGATTGGAAATAATAATCATATGCAATATCTAGAAAACAATAACGTAACTGCCTTTTTTAAGCCTATTACAACTAAAGAAATTATAGATATTGTTTGTGACCTGAAAAGCAAATCAAGCACTGGTTATGATGAAATTGATATTGTCATCGTTAAAAGGGTTGTTCACATTATATGTTATCCGCTGTGTCGTATTTTTAATGAATCTATGAATCAAGGTATTTTTCCGGAAAAGTTAAAAATAGCAGAAGTTATTCCTGTATATAAAAATGGATCATTCGATACAATGAGTAATTATCGACCAATATCAGTCTTGCCAGTATTTTCAAAAATCTTAGAAAAATGTTTTTATAATAGATTGATATATATTTTTTTAACCAATGTAATTTATTATCGGTTAGTCAATATGATTTTAGAGCTGGTCACTCCACATCCTCTGCACTAATTGATTTTGTTTTTAAAGTTATAAATGCCTTAGATAATAAACAAATTATGTTAGGAATATTTCTCGATCTTAGTAAGGCATTTGATACGTTGGATCATAAAATTCTCTTAGATAAATTGTTCAATTATGGAATACGAGGTGTTTTGTTAAAATGGTTTGAAAGCTATTTAACAAACCGAAAACAATAATGTTCTTTTTAATACAATTGAATCTGATTTTAAAACCATAGGATGTGGAGTGCCTCAAGGCTCGATATTGGGACCCTTATTATTTCTTATATACATGAATGATATTACTCAGGCTTCACAAATATTACAATGTATATTGTATGCCGATGATTCAAGTTTATTTTTGTCTGATAACGATGTAGATAGATTAGTGAAACGATTTAATGATGAGCTGCAAAACATTTCTCAATGGTTGAATAATAATAAATTAATCTTAAATGTAAAGAAAACTAATTATATAATTTTTACAAACAAAAACATTAGAACTGATAATATTAAAGTAAAGATTAATGGAAATGTTGTACAGCGTTGTAATTCATTGACATTTTTAGGAATTCAAATTGATTATAAAATGTCATGGCACGTTCATATTGATGCAATTTGTAATAAACTCTCGAAGGTAGTTGGTATTTTATACAAATTAAAACTATTCCCTTATAAGATCTTATTAATGATATACAATGCATTGTTTTTATCACAATTAAATTATTGCAATATTGTTTGGGAAAATTCAAATGATTATTGTTTGAATAGATTATATAAATTACAAAAGAAGGCAATACGTATTATCTCAGGATCCCATTATCTTGCCCATACAAAACCTATTTTTGTCCGTTTTAAATGTTTTAATGTATTTGAATTGAATGACTATAATATTGTTATATTTATGTTTTTATGTCATAAAGGTATTATTCCTCCTAGTCTATCAAACAAATTTATTTCAAATTCTGAAATACATTCATATATAACTAGACAATCATCTCATTTTCATATACCACTTATCAAAACTTCTGTCTCTAAAAATTCAATTTTCTTTAAAGGACCAATTTTATGGAATGAGTTACCTCCTAATGTTAAATCAAGCCCAACTCTGAATACATTTAAAAGAAGATACAAACAATTACGTTTTTGTGAATAGTATTTTATTAGTTTTTATATATGCAATCAGGTGTTAGATGTTAGGTGTTAGTTGTTAGGTGTTAGGTGTAAGGTGTTAAGTGTTATAGGTTAAAATTGTCACTAGGGACCAGCCCCACACAAGACTTAATTGTTCTTTCTTGCTGGTTCCTCATTCGTATATATATTTGTATTTTATGTTTATCTTTCGTTATGTTATTTGTATGTTCTTTACCTATCTGTAAATATCAATGTTATAATCAATGTTATAATCATGTCTGTTTTTTATATGACGAATGAAATAAAATGAAATGAAATATATCTTCATGCTTAAACGCACCCACACACACACGCACACACACACAATGCTTCTCTCTCTCGCGCCTTTTCTCTTTCTGTCTGCCCTCTCTCATCTCTCGCCCCTCCCCTCTCTCTCTCTCTCTCTCTCTTTCTCTCTCTCTCTCTCTTTCTCTCTCTCTCTCTTTTGCACTTTTTTTTATTCTCTCTACATAGCCTATCATTCGTTATTTTCTATCCTCCTTCGGTAATATTACTCAATATAAATGAGACGAACAAAATTCAAACAAATTCAACAAAATTTATTGCACTTAAAATTATTAATTAGTTTGTATGCAAATC